CCCTTTACTATATTTCATTTAAAAATGAAGGAAGAGTAGTAAATTGTAATGATTTTGATATTATATTGTTCAGATAGTTCTTTCTTATTTTTAATTATAAACCAGATTTTTAAAGTAAGATGTCCTGTTTTCTGGAATATTGAATAAATGAATACCAAATTAGTTCCTAATCATATGAGAGCCAGATTATTGGATTAGATTTCTAAGGTCCATTCCACTTCTGATCCCTACTTGAGATATTCTGTGTATCTGTCTTATGGCTGTTTAGTGAGTACGTTAGAAGTACTCTACCTATTTTTATTGAGTAAGCATTTGTATTGGGTGTGACTGGAGTTGGGCACCAGAATGAGATGTTGTCTATCTCTGTCTTAACTCCTTTGACAGTTACTGCCTAAGGAAATAAGTTTTGGAACTGGGAGGTGGAGCAATAGAAATTGTGTAGATATGGATGTTCTTGGCATTAGGACCATCTTGTACCTCATCAAACTGTGCTGGTCAGCACAGCCTTTCCTTCTTTCCTCATCTTCTCACATTAATTCTTGCTCTTCGCCCTTTTCTCTTTTTCTCTCCCCTTCTCTTAGTTTTGGGGAGGATACTCTTTCTCTCCTTCCCTTTCCCTCTTCATCATCTCCCCTTTCATACTGATCTCTTCTTTATTCCTGTTTTATGATTGAGAATCAAATGAGATAATATATGCATAACATTTTGCATACCTTTTAAGGACTTGCTATATAAATGCTAGCTAAATGCTAATTATTTCCTGTTCTCCCCTCTTTCCAGCTCTATCCCTCTTTATCTTCTCTCCTCTACCACTCATGCTGTAGTTTGTATTTTCAAAATGGAATTGATGTCTTCTCAGCTATGACCTATAATGTTCTATGTAGAAGCACCCAAAATAGTGGGGTATTGTGGAAAGAGCCTTCCCTGTACTTGGAGTCAGAAAAGATTTGGGTTCAGATGTGGACTGTGATACAATGTTGCTTTAGACACAGGTTTCCCCTTGAGCTACAGTTTCTTCATCTATGAAATGGGAATAATACACTTCATGGATTTCTTATGAGGGAAATGTCTTTGTAAACCTCTGGGTAGCCTCTAGAAATGCAATATTGGTACCTTCAGATGAGTAATTATACACTTACCAACTTGGCAGATTGAAATGCTTTTGTCTCCAGTATTCTCATTCTCTCTCTCTCTCTCTCTCTCTCTCTCTCTCTCTCTCTCTCTCTCTCTCTTTCTCTCTTTCTCTGTGTCTGTCTCTGTGTGTGTGTGTTTTGGTTTTTATTGAACATGAGCCCTTCCAGCCTATATTATATCTCCATCCCTATTTTAATCCCTTCAACTTGTTATAGCCCTTCCTCCCAAACTCTTTCATTTTACTATATATTTCATTTATTCTTTACTTGTGTACTTGCCTTCTGTGTTAGAATGTTAGCTCTTTTGTGAGTGGGGATTGTTTCATTCTTGGTTTTTGTTTCCCCTATGTATGGCTCACAGTAGGTACTTAATGAATACTTATTGATTGATTTGACCATCTTGATACCTGCTTAACTGGTCTCCTTGCCTGTAGCCTCTCCTCTCTCCATCCTTCATACAGCTGCCAAAGTAATTTTCCCAATGCACAAATCTGATCACATTTCTACTCTGCTCAAAAGCCAGGTAGCTTCTTGTTCCCAGGTAGGATAAAATACAAAATCAGTAGCCTGCCATGCATAATCTGTCATCAGTTAGACTTTCTTGCCTTCTTTTACTTTCCTTTTCTTTGCATAATCTCATGTCAGACTGAGCTATTCCTTTCTCTCTTGCTTATGTTCATTCCCTGGAACATACTCTCTCTACATTGTCAGGCCTCATTGATATTTTTTCCTTCCTTTAAGATCCAGCTCTGATGCTACCCCTCCATGAAGACTTGCCTTCTCCTCTAACAGAAAGTTACTCTTCAGACTTCTTAATGCTTGTGTGGGACTTCCCTTTGCCTTTGACCAGTCTGCCTTGTATCATACTAGGGAAGCATTGGTAATTGGCTGACAGAAGAGCCAGTGTGTGGTGTACTGGAAAGAAAAGGACTAAAAGAGTCTGGAGTCCTAGGTTCAAATTCCAATTTATGTGTCTGAGATAATCCTCTGTTAGTCAGTCAACAAGCATTTATTAAGTGCTTGCTGTATGTGCCAGGTGCTGAACTAAGTGCTGGGGATATAAGAAAAAGAAAAAAACAATAACATTATGATGTCTTCCTTCAAGGAACTCACCTTCTAGTGGGGGAGACAGCATGCAAATAACTATGTATGCGCAGGATATACATAGTGTGAATAATAATAATTTATAATTATGCTAATTATAATATATATCACTATAATGCTAATATAGCATTTTAAGATTTATAAACTGATTTCTTTATAAGACCCCCTTTGTTAAAAAAAATTTTTTTTTAAATTTTGGCTAGGCAATGGGGTTAAGTGATTTGCCCAGGGTCACACAGCTAGTAAATGTTATGTGTCTGAGGCCAGCTTTGAACTCAGGTCCTCCTGAATCCAGGACCGGTGCTTTATGCACTTCGCCACCTAGCTGCCTCGAGACCCCCTTGTAAGATACGTAAAATAGTTTTAGTTGCCTTTTGGACATCTTAAACTAAATGCCTTGGAGACATCTCAAGCTCAACACGTCCAAAGCAGAACTCATCTTTCTGCCCCTTTCTTCCTTCTTTCCTGTTACTGTCAAGGGCACCCCCATCATCCCCATATATCCATTCTACAGTCATGTCTTGTCATAGCCACCTCCATAACATTTCTCTAAAACATCTTCCTTCCTTTGTTTCTTCCTTCTGCACAGGCCTTTGTTACCTCTCACTGAGCTATTACAGTAGCACACAGCACTCCATCCCTTCTCTTGGGGCCTTTTTACTGTCTGTCCCTATCCCTAGAATTCTCTCCCTTCTCACCTCTGCTTTTTAGCTTCCTTAACTTCCTTCAAGATTCAGATGAAATCCTGTTTTCTGAAGAAAGCCTTTCCAAGTCTCCCCCATTACTAGTGTCTTCCCTCTGAGATTATCTACTATTTACTCTGTGTATGTGTATCTAGATATCTTGCACATACCTAGTTATTTACATGTTGTCCCCCCTTCTATTAGAATTTGAGCTTCTTGGGGCAAGGACAGCAGCTTATTTATTTATTTTTTGGCCATTCTTTGTACGACCAAGTGCTTAGTTCAGGGCTTGGTACGTAGCACTTAATAATGTTTGTTCACTGACTTCTGATACTGATGATGAAACTGAGTCTCAGAGGGGGATAAGCTATTTGTCTAGGAGACTTGCATATTCTCAAGTCCAGGACACTTTACATCAAACTTCCTTGAGAGCAGAGGCTGTTTATTTTCATCTTTCATCTAAGCCAGAAGTTCTTAATCTTTTTTGTGTTTTGGACTCCTTTGGCGTTCTGGTGAAGCCTATAGGCTCCCTTCTCAGAGTGTTTTTATGTGCACAAAATAAAATACATATAAATGTAAAAGAAACTAATTATATTGAAACATAGTTATCAAAATATTTAAAAAACAAATTCACGGGCCCCAGGTTAAGAACCCCTCATCTAAGCATTTTAGATAGTGAATAATTTAAATGTCTACTGACATGAATTGAATTTGGTTTTTTTTTCTCCTCATCATTGAGAAATCATTAAGTACCAGAAGAGGTTTAGTTACTAATATTGTGATATTGTAGAAAGAGCCCTGAGTTAAGGTGACAGGAGATTGAGGTCCTTATCCCAGTTCTGCCATTTACTAGTAGTGTGACCTTGGAAAAAGCCATCTAACTTCCTTGAGCCTCAGTTTCCTTATCTCCCAGTTAAGGAAACTGTCTTATAAGATAGCCAGAGATATCCTTGAAGATACCCCAAGAAGAGGGGCCCAGAGTTCCAGTGTCCACACATCTTGTGTCTTCCCATTTCCTGCTGGGATAAATGATCCCCAGAAGGAAGGTGACAAGGGGCCTGGCCATGTACCTCAAAGCAACAAATTCCATCTGTGCCAGCACCAGGCAACTTCCACTCCTTCTGTTAGCCTATCTCCTGGCTGGGATGTGTGGAAGCTCAGGAACAAAGAGGAGCAACCTACTCTTTGACTTCAGGCCTTCTGTCTCCTGCAGTGCCTGTCCTTTGAAGGAAGAGGAGAAAGGAGCTTGGTGGGGATGGGAGTTCTTTCTCCTGTTGTGCAGGTTTGCATTCATTTTCTGTTTGGTCTTTTCCTACTCAGTCTCTACCTTTTGGAGGGAAGAGGAGTGGTGAACAGGTAGGGGCCTTCCATCTGACCATCTGACTCTTTCCCTCCAGTCATCTTCTGCTCCACTTGCCTCCACCCCTATCTCCAGGAGAGTTGGCACATACTCAGTGATGTACATACCTGATTATATCTTTCATACCATCCCCTGTCACCAGTTCCTTATTCCCATCCACCTCAACCCACCAACCCCAAAGTTTCAGCCAGATACCCCCAGCCCTTCCAGTGTGCCTTCTGGAATACCTGCATTGTAGGCAACAAACTGTCCTTCATCCATAATCTTTTCCTTTCCCACTCCTTCCACTCCTTCAGTGTATTTCTTCTGCCCTTTACAGCTAAACTCTTTGAAAAGGCTGAGTCTGAAACTGCTCTCTGAAAGTTACCAGTGGCCATATCCAGTGGCCTTTTCTCAATCCTCATTATTCTTCTCTTCTTCTCCTTTATATTCTCTCTAGGTTTTGGGGGCACCATTCTCTCCTGGTTCTCCTACTTATCTGATTTGTTGTTTGGTTGTTTCAGTGGTGTCTAACTCTTTGTGACCCCATTTGGTATTTTCTTGCCATTTCCTTCTACAGCTCATTTTACAGTTGAGGAAACTGAGACACACAGGTTAAGTGACTTCCTGAGGATCACATAGCTAGTAAATGTTTGAGGGAAGATTTGAACTCAGGAAAATGAGTCTTTCAGATTCCAAGCCCAGTGCTATATCCACTGCACTACCTAGCTGCCCACTTACCTGATAACTGCTTCTCAGTCGCCTTTGCTGGATCCTCTTCCAGATCAGGGTTCTGTTTGAGGCCCTCTTCTCCCTCTACCCTACTTCACTTGGTGATCTCATCAGCTTCCATGGATTTAATTAACATCTGTATGTTGATGATTCTCATTTCTACCTTTCCTGCCTCAGTTTCTCTGCTGACCTCCAGTCTCACATCTCCAGCTGCCTTTCAGACATCTCAAACTGGGATGTCCAGTAGATATCTTAAACTAAGCATTCCAAAACAAATCTCATCTTTTTTCCTAAACACCCCTCCCCCCCTTCCCTATTACTGGAGGGCATCACCATCCTCCCAGCCCCTCAAGGCTCACATCCTAGGAGTCATCCTGGATTCCTCACTTCCTTCATATTCAAGCTGTTGCCAAGGCCTGTTGATTTCACCTTTGCAGCGTCTCTCAAATACACCCCTTTCTGTCCTCTGACACTGCCAGTGCTCTGGGATGGTCCTTTATCACCTCACACTTGGACTATTGCAATAGCCTACTGGTGATTTTGCCTGCCTCAAGTCTCTCCCCAATTCGGTCAGTCCTCCATTCAGCATACCAAACATACCAAAATGATTTTCCTAAACCACAGGTCCATCCATGTCACTCCCCTACGCAGCCACTAAAGTGACTTTCTTAAAGTGTAGGTCCAACCATATCACTCCCTTACTCATAAACTCTAGTGCTCCCTATCTTTATAGGTTCAAATATAAAAAATTCTCTGTTTGGCATTCAAAACCCTTCATGACCTAACTCTTCCATCTTCTTACTCTTAACTCCCTGCACTGTACTATTTGATCATGTGGCACTGGCCAGTGACACTGGTCTCCTGGCTATTACACAAAGAAGACATTCTGTCTCTTGGCATTTTTCTCTGGCTATTCCAAGCCTGGAATGCTCTCCCTCCTTAGCTCTGCTGACTGACTTCCCTGGCTTCCTTTGAGTCTCAAATAAAATCTCATCTTCTGCAGTAAACCTTTTCCAATCCCACTTAATTCTAGTGCTTTCTATTTCTTAATTTTTTTTCCTGTTTCTCCTATATATAACTTGTTTGTACATATTTGTTTGCACATTGTCTTCCCATTAGAGTGTGAGCTCCTTGAAGGAAGAGATTGTCTTTTGCCTCATTTTGTATTAGCACTGAACACAGTGACTGGCACATAGTAGGTGCTTGATAATTGTATATTGATTGACTGAGCCTTCCTTGTCTATCTCATAATATATGAAATATATCTCATAATATATGAAATGCAAAATGTAAGGTGGTGGTAATATAGTATAGGATCTTGTGCTAGGATCTTAGGGATAGGAAAATGGAGAAGGCATAACCCTTGTCTTACAAAGGCTTATGAAGTTGTCACAAAAGGCTTTCCTATGTTACTGCTTCATTCCTAAGGGATTTGACTCCCTTCCTCTCCTTCCCCCATATATAGCCAGCTCTCACTTAAGGTAAAAGTGGCCAGACAGGGTTCAGTGCTGGGGCCCCCCCCCCCCAATTTATTTAAAGCAACTGTATTCAATAAATCTTGTCAGTTCTACTTCCATAGTACTTCTGCCTTTTCTCTATTCACACTGATAACGCCCTAGTTTAGGCTGTCATGGTCAGTGATAGTATTCTTCTAATTGTTTTCTTCCTGGATCCAATGTGTCTGTTACCATTTTATGTTAATATGATCTCAACTGGGCCCTTTGTACCTCCCTGACTCACTATTCCATTCACCACAGGAACTTCTCTCTCTCTCTCTCTCTCTCTCATAAGTTTATTAGCCTCTTTTCTGTGAACATTATTTTGTTTGTGTTTTTTCTTTGGGCAATTGGGGTTAAGTGACTTGCCCAGGGTCACATAGCTAGTAAGTGTCAAGTGTTTTGGTCTGAGGTCACATTTGAACTCAAGTCCTCCTGACTTCAGAGCCAGTGCTCTATACACCGCACCACCTAGCTGCCCCCACAGGAACTTCTCCATCCCTTATCAAATCTCCCATGGCTCCATCCCTCTACCCTTTCAGCTGAGAACCTTATGTCATATTTCATTGAAAAAATTGGGGCTATTCACTGAGAGCTTTCTCTTTTCCCTTCTTCCTCATCTCATATTACTCAGATGCCTTTACCTCTTTCACGTGAATAGGTGGCTCTTCTCCTTGCCAAGGTAAACCCTCTCTGTGTGCACAAGTGATTCCATTCTATCCCATCTTCTCCAGTAGATTATCTCCCCTGTCATCCCCATTCTCTGACTTCTCTTTAGTTTCTTCCTTGTCTACTGGCTCCTTCGTTACTGCCTAGAAACATGCCTATATCTCTCCCCAAACTCTCACTTGATCTCTCTATTGCCTTTCTTAATACTAATAGGCCTGGCATATAATAGGCAGTTCATAAACACTTGACTTGATACTAGTGATTCTGTAGTAAGAGTCCTCCCATCTGCTGATCTCCTCCTCCTCTTTCTTCTTTCTTTTTTTAGGCAATTGGGGTTAAGTGACTTGCCCAGGGTCGCACAGCTAGTGTCAAGTGTTTGATCTGATGTCGGATTTGAACTCGGATCCTCCTGACTTCAGGGGCGTGGCTCTATCCACTGCACCATCTAGCTGTCCCTCTGCTGACCTTCTTGAACCTTTTCTTGACTGTTCTTGCTAGAACCTTCACAAAGCATCTGTACTGTTTTGTAGTCCTTTGGAAATTATAATGGACAGAGACTCTGATTCATTATAAAACAAACACTTCCAGGTCATAGGGAATGGAATTTTTTGGCATTTATAAAAAAATGTTATAATACCTACTATTGCCTGTTTGCTCCCATTCCCAGGTCATTATCTGCTTTAGCTGTACACCACACTGAAGTCTGTTAAATGTTATCATTACCATCCAGACCTCACAATTTATCACTTAATTGTTTTCTGCTTTGCGTATTGGTCTTGGCTTCTCCAATTAACTGTTAGCTACCAAAATGCAGTTTTCTATAGTGAACAAAAATTCTTAATCTCTGGGGTCCATAGACTCCCATGAGTCTAATGCAGAGTGTCATGAACTTTGATGGGAAGAAAAATTACATCTTTATTTCCACTAACCTCTAAACGAAATTCGGCGTTTCTTTTAATTATTAATTAGCAAAAAGAATTTTGAGAAGGGGTCCATAGATTTAATGAAGAATCTTCATAACACAAAAAAGGATAAGGACCCCTGCTTTAGAACATGGCTGGTTGGTATTTAGTGCTTTTTTTGTTTTGTTTTCAGATTGCTAGGAACAGAGGTATGTTTTATTTTTATCCTTATAGACAATCTTAGTTCTCATAATTTTTTGTGATTTTTAGAAAAATCAACTTGTGGAACATATAAAATAATGGGATTTGTATGATGTTTGTGCCTGGTTAACAGTAGTATTAAGTGCTAGAGGGGGAATTTGAACCTGTGTTCAGGTCCTTCATTCTTTATACCATTCTCTGTATCTTTGATTACTTACAGCTTCCTTTTTATAGCTCAGTGTTGAGAAGTCCAGTCTGCAGTAGTCAGTGTACTTTTGCTTTCTGTTGTTCTGCTAGTGCTATAGACTTCATGTCACAAAGCTCTTCTCTGTGCTAGTTGCAGTTGATTTCTTGCTAGCTTAAGGCCTGTTGGCCTATATGTGTCACAGCTTACCCTGTATACTCACTTTCTTTGTCTTTTGACAGAGTTTGCAGGGGAAGGGAGAAGAGGAATGCTAAGAAACATGTTTATTCCTTTGACTTTGTTCCAGTCACTCTCAGAAAAACCTTTTGTTGATGCTTTTTAATGTCTCTAGTGGTTGTTTGCCTATACTTCCTTTAAAGTTTACACCTTATCTAAGGATCCTCTTGGCATCTCCTTTTATGTGGAGGCTTGCTGCATTGCATATTTTACTCAAAATTTCCTGTCCTGGAAGCCTTTTTTGCCTTCCAATAACTTTTAACTATTCTTTTGAAATAGTAAAATGTTCTATGTGAATTTTGGTGGCTGCACTATGGCCTGAACTGTGGTTGAGCTATGGGATTACAACTTTTTGGTAGCTGTCTATGAGAGGTTCCCAAATGATGGGTCAGCCTATTATTTTCATGTGGTACAGCAGTTGAGTCTTAAAGGAGCACTAGATAGATCAGTAATACATGGTATCAAAGAGTAAGGTTCCTTGGGCAAATGGGAATGTTGTCTACATTTAATTCAGTACCTTTTCGCATGTAGAATACTAGACTAGGAAATATGTAAAGGCAGTGATTTTGCATTTTGATTTTAGATGCAGTTGACTCTGCCTGAAACATGAACTTTTAGTTAAATGGCCTTAGATTTCACTACCTTCTCCTCTTCAAGTGTTCTACTTATAAATAGATTATATTAAAAACATACACAAAACCCTGATGGAAAGACTTTCAGTGAGTGAAGGCTGGGACAGCAGAAATGCTGGTGTCTGTCGATAGACTACAGCATGTGCTTACTGTAGGAAGATTCTGCCCTTGCTTACAAGGCAAGGCAGATGCAGGAGGACTCATTTTTGCTAAGTGTGCAGAAAGTTTATCTCTTCAGAGGACTGTGGAGTTAGTTAAGTTCTGCCCCTCCCTTCTTTGCCTGCTAAATTCAGCGTACTTAGTCACTTGTATGAAATAGATACTGAGTTGGTGATTTTCCAGGCAGCAGGCTAAACTGCTATTGCTTGTAGGTCAGAGTGTGTCTTTTTAAGTGTTGTTTAGTGAAGGAATAGCCTTCAGAATAATTGTGTTACTGTTTGGTGGGGCAACTGTGCTATCTTAGGTGCAGACTAGATATTATATTGATTTTGTTTGGGATTGGTAGAGTAGAATAGAGGCTAGTTTGAGACCATGTAATCCTTATGTTACATCTTAACCATCATATGATTTGAGGTTTAGACGTTAAAAGGACGTTTTGAAGTTATCTAGTCCAGTGGTATTAAACTGAAATAGAAACGAGGGCCAGCCACTAAACTGTAGTTTTATTGTATTGTCATTTATTTATTTATTTATTTGGCTAGGCAGTGGGGTTAAGTGACTTGCCCAGGCTCACACAGCTAGTAAGTGTTATGTGTCTGAGGTCACATTTGAACTCAGGTCCTCCTGACTCCAGGGCCGGTGCTTTATCCAGTGCGCCACCTAGCTGCCCCTGGTCTTCACTTCTTTTGGCCAACACTTACATGACATGGATCCAAGGCCCTTCACCATTCTAGTTACCCTCCCCTGGACATGTCAACTTTTCAATGTCCTTCCTAAACTGTGGTGCCTAGAATTTAACACAGTACCACAGGTCTACAGTGGGATTTGACTAAGGCAGAGTACAGTGATACTATCACCTTCCTTGGAAGTAATGCTCTCAGTTCAGTCCAATATCTCATTATCTTCTTTGACTGCCACATTACACCAACAGTTCTTCAAGCTTGCAGTAGACTAAAATCCCAGATCTTTTTCAGTCACATTGGTATCTAATTATGCCTCCTGTGTTTTATATTTTTTATGTTTGTGAAGTTGATTTTTTGAGCCCAAATGTATCCTTACTGAATTTCATCTTACTAGATTCCGCTTAATGTTGTGTAAGCCTTTCAAGACTTTTTTAGATCCTTGCTGTTATTCACTGTTATCTCTCTCTCTTTCAGCCTTGTGTGATCTGCAGATTTGATTAGCAGGCTTTCGCCTTTGTCCAAGTTATTCCTAAAATTGTTAAACAGTACAAGCTCAAACACACATCCGGTGGATGTTACTCCCAAAGTGTTCCTGCCAAGTTTATACTGAGCTATCATTGGCTACTCTTTGAGTCTGTGCATTCAAACAGATCTGAATCTAATTATACTGTTACATATTTCTCATCTCTTCATCTTTTCCATAAGAATAGTATGAGATAGTTTATCAATTTTTGCTAAAATCTAAGTAAGCTATAGTTACATTATTCCCCTGATTGTGTCCAAAAAACGAAATAAGGCTAATCTGACAACTTGTTCTTAATGAAGTCATGCTGACTCTTTGTAATCACTGTTTTCCTTTTCTACATGTTACTAACCATCTTTTTAATGATACACTCTAATGCCTTCCCAGTAATCAAAGTAACACTCACTGGCCTATAGTTTGCAGACTCTGTCCTTTAAAAAAATAAAAAGATAATATTTGCCCTTCTTCAAATCCTGTGATACACATCCCATTCTCCATGATCTTTCAGTGGTCACAGAATAGTTTAAGCAATCACATTTGCTAGTTCTTTCATTGTCTGAGGATGTAGTTCATCTGGGCCAGGTATAGCTCTCTTTACTTATCTTTTGAATCAGCTGTTAGCTGTTTTGCATTTCCAATGCAAAGTTCATTTTTCTTGGCATGGAAAACAAGCCAAATAAGAAATGAACCCTGCTCTTCTCTCTTGTCAGTTGTCATTGCCTTATCCATTGAAAACAGCAGTCCCAGCCCTTATTTAATTAGCTTTCTTGCCCAAATAATAGCTTTAAAAACTAATTTCTTTTTTCTTTAGCTCTCCTTGGCAACCTCTGCTTATTCTGAGATTTAGCAGCTTTGATATTATTTGTGCCATTTAAAAAATCCTGTTACTTGTTCTTACTTCCATCTTCTGTCATATCTTTTTAAAATCTAATTTGATTGGTGAGTTCCTTGACCATCTACACTGTTCTTTTTATTTATATTCATTTTTAGTTTTCAGCATTCACTTCCATAAGCTTTTGAGTTGTAAACTTTCTCCCCCTCCCTCCCCAAGATGGCATGCAATCTGATATAGGCTATACAGATACATTCCTATTAAACATATTTTCACATTAGTCATGTTGTAAGGAAGAATTAGAACTAATAGGAGAAACCACAAGAAAGAGGAAACAAAACAGAAAAAAAAATGCAAATAGTATGCTTCAATCTGCATTCAAACTCCATAGTTCTTTCTCTGAATGTGTATAGCATTTTCCATCATGAGACTTTTGGAGATGTCTTAGATCCTTGCATTGCTGAGAAGGACCAGGTCTATTAATGTTAGTCATCGCACAACATGGCTGTTCCTGTGTATAATGTTCTCCTGGTTCTGCTCACTTCATTCAGCATCAGTCCATAAAAGTCTATCCAGATGTTTTTGAAGTCTGCCTGCTCATCATTTCTTATAGCACAATAGTATTCCATCACATTCATATACCGCAACTTGTTCAACCATTCCCCAATTGATGAGCATCCCCTCCATTTCCAATTCTTTGCCACCACAGAAAGAGCTGCTATCAGTATTTTTTACATGTGGGTCCTTTTCCCATTTGTATGATCTCTGTGGGATACAGCCCTAGAAGTGCTATTGCTGGGTCAAAGGGTATGCATATTTTATAGCCCTTTGGGCATCGTTCCAGATTGCTCTCCAAAATGGCTGGATTAATTCACAACTTCACCAACAATGCATTAGTGTTCCAATCTTCCCACATCTTTTCCAACATTTATCATTTTCCTGTTTTGTCATATTAGCCAACCTGATAGATATGATGTGGTATCTCAAAGTTGTTACACTATTCTTTTTGTAACTCTTTTTTACTCCTCAGAGTTGTTTCCATTTGTGCCTTTAGAAATTCATTCTTCAGTTTCCTGGTTGTCCTGGGCTGACTTCTCCTGTAGAATTTTAGTCAAATAATTATTCCTTATTCTCCTTGTGAAGCCTTTGAAATCTCCTTCCTTCATATCTAGAATTCAGTAATACTGTGCCCAACTTTATCTTTCAAGATTCATCATTAGAGATTTATAATGTTTTTAAATGTTGGGGTTATTTATATTATTATGATCATTATCAATATTATTGTCTTTTACATTACCGTGGTCATTGTGTAAATTATTTTCTTTGCTTTTCCTTATTTTCTCTATATCAGGCCACTTAAATCTTCCCAAAATTCTTTGAATTCTTCATATTTGTCATCTTATATGCAACATAATATTCTTTACATTCATTTGTGTGTATCACGATTAGCTATTTTACAGCGGGACCATATTTCTTTATTTTTTTTAAACTACTGCTCACAGTGTTGATACAAATCACACTGCCACCATTTGAATTTTCCTGCATAATTTCAAATTATTTTTCAGGATGGTTAATCCACTCATAATTTCTTCAACATTGCATCCATTAGTGTGTGACTGTTTTCCTATATCCCCTCCAACTTTTATAATTTTTCATTTTTTGTTATCTTTGCCCCTGTGGTATGAGGGGAAACAGGGCTGTAGAAGTTCACATTTTTCTTAGTTACTTGGAGTAATCTTTCTTGGTTATTGATAGTTTCATTTCTTCTTTTGAAAACTGCTAATTCAAATTCTTTGACCATTCATCATTTGGTGAGTGATCCTACTCAATTTCCTTTGTGGCACACTGTATGTGGTGTAAGGTTACCATTGTTTCCTTGCTGTGTCTCAAGGATAATAAACCTTTGATAGAATTGCCTTCTTCAGGTACTTTTAGAGGCTCTAGGTCTTACTTCTGGGGCAGACAATGTTGATCTTCAATAATAGTCTTCAGGGTGTTTCATCTCATACCCATCAGATTGACCAAGTTGGAGGGGAAAAAAAAGGAAAATGATAAATGCTTGAAGGGACTGTGGGAAAACAGGTGTATTAATGCACAATTGTAGCTGTGAACTGGTCTAGCCATTCTGGAAAGTAGTTTGGAACTATGCTCAAAACGCAAGCTGTGCATACCCAGTGATACTACCATTAGATCGTTACCATAAAGAGATTAAAGAAAGAGGAAAAAGACCCATATGTACAAAAATATTTATAGCAGCTCTTTTTTTGTGGTGGTAAAGAATTAGAAACTGAGGGAGATGCCCATCAATTGGGGAATGGCTGAACAGGTTATGGTATAATATATGTGATGGAATACTGTTGTGCTCTAAGAAATGATGGTGGGGATGATTTCAGAGAAACCTGGGAAACTTGTATGAACTGATGCAGAGTGAGGTGAACTAGGAGAACAATTTATATAACCACAATATTATAGCTTATACATTTCAGTCACATTACTATGGAGAATACAAAGGCAAGGTTTCTGTCCTCAGAGTTTATTACTTAATAGCTTATACATTTTGGTCACACAACTATGGAGAATACAAAGACAAGTTAGTCACAATATTGTTAAGTCAAATAACTTTGTAAGACTAGGAAACTCTGAAAACTTGTTCATAATTCTGCTACCAAGATCTTAACCTACAGAAGTTCTTCATTCATGGCTAGTTACATGTTTACTACAATGACTGTTGGATTTGTACTGTTGTACCCCTTGGGAGAGGATTTTTAAAAATTTTTTCTCTTGATGATTGCTTTGGCTCAGTTCCCACTGGCCCAGTGAACCTTTAGAAGTAGTAAGGGCTTGGGAAAATCAATTAGAGGACTCATATTCTCTTTGTTGTCAAAGTGGAAATAAAATCATTCTGCTTTGTTGTAAATTTGGAAATTCTCCTCTCTAGTCCTCCTTTTGATATCTCATCTTGGTGGTGTGGTAACTAACTGGATTCTCAAAGGCTTTACCAGTGGAAGCCCAAGCTCAGACAAATCTTAGCAAATTGCAAAGATTTAGAACATGGGATTGTCATGAGATAACTAATCAAGCTAAATTCAGAGAGGTTTATCAGCACCAGGGGATACATTTTATGGTTACAGAAACTCAAAGAATATTTTATGGTATGGCAGGATTACTATTTGCATTAGTTAAGAGTAGTACTAACTGATGAAATCAAGGATATGTGGAAATTAATCTAAGTAAGATTGTAAATGCAAGCTCAATGAATGGAATGATGAGTACTTATGTAGTCATGAGGTAATGGCAGCCTTCTCGCTTATGTGAGAAAAAAATCTGTAATCTGATGTTGATCAAAATTTCTTTTTTTTCCTTTCAGTTTCTGAAGACCTGCTGGGATGGAACAGGTGTGCCAAAGCTGAGATAATAGAATCCACTCGACGCCATTGGCCAGTGTCCTGCAATTTTTGGCTTTAATATAATTGGAAACTGTAATGAGTATGACTGTTGGATTTGTACTACTGTCCCCTCTTTGGGGGAGGACCTTTTTTATTCTTCTAATGATTGCTTCAGCTCAGTCCCACTGGCCCAGTGAACCCTCTGAAGTAGTAAGGGACTGGGAAAATCAGTTAGAAGCATCAATGCATTCAGTGCTTTCTGATCTTCGAGAGACTATCCCAGCTGTTGTGGGCATTCCAGATGGCATAGCTGTGGTAGGTCGCTCATTTCGACTTGCCATTCCAACAGATTTAATCGCTTCCAATGGAGAAATAATTAAGGTGAGATTGAATTTATGTGGTAAAAATGAGCAAGATTTTCTGACACTCCTTTCATTTTTATGTCTTTGATCTAGCAGCTTTTAAATGCCCTTCTGATTACTATAAAACTTCAAAGTCAGAGGTTCTCAGAGTATGGTCTGATAACCCCTGGTTATCCTGAAGACCCTTATGGGGTTCCACAAGGTCAAAACTGTTTTCATAATAATAGTAAGATGTTATTTGCCTGTTAAAATATTCCTTCTTTTTCCAACTACATATCTATTTAAGGCCAGATTTTCTTTATATTCTTTATCCAAAATGACCATCCCCACAGATTGAATGCAGAAGCAGAAATGAGAATTCAACTGTTTTCTATTAACCCAGGGATTAAATAGATTGGCAGAAATATGTAAAACAATGTCACTCTTCTCACTAAGTTATTTTTGTTTTGGAGAATATAGCTATTTTCATAAAATGTTATTTATGTTAACATGTAGTGGGTTTATTATTATTTTTAAATGAATTACTAAATATTTAAGTTTTTTTATTCTTAATTTTTATTATGGTAAATATCCATAGATATAAGCCACATTAACAAAGGCTCTTTGGATTCCTCAGTAATTTTTAAGAGTGTGAAGGAGTCCTGAGAACAGAAGTTGGAGAACTGCTGTGCTTTAATGCAAAAAAAAAAAAAAGATAATGTAATAACATTTTAAGGAGAGGGAGTTCTTGTAAATATCATTAGGAATCACTGACTCCTTTTTTATTTTTAGCTTATCAAAATCTGGAAAATCTGGTTTGTTACATCTGTTTTATTGAAGATGATTCTCTCATGGAAAGAATTTTGCATGTTTTGAGCTTTGAATCCAGGGTTTGTAGAGAGTGGTTAGTTAGGGTCTTTCACCCTCATTTTCTTCTTTTTCATTTCGATGATAAAGAACCAGTGAATTTGCTTATCATAGATTTAGAGCTGGAGGGACCCTTAGCGATCATCTATTCCACAGGTGTCAAACTTTAGCCTACAACACTCCTGAGTGCAGCTGAACTAGATTAAAACGTAATTGGGAAATATTTAACAAAATAAATAAAACTACAGCAAAGCACAGATAATATTAATATGTTTTTCTAAGTCAGTATGTGGCCTGCAGGGATCCTTGTGCACAATTTAGTGACTTCCATATGTATTTGAGTCTGAAACCACTGATCTTCACCTCCTTCATTTTACCAATTAGGAAACTGATCTAGAGAGGGAGGGGAAGTGACTTGCCAAGATCCCACAACTAAGCAGCAGAGTCTAGATCAGAATGGCTGTAAAACACTGGCACATTCAGATAAAACGATAGGTTGACATGAGAACAGAATTTAGATTTAACATTTAAACTGCTGTAGCAGCCCTAAAAGTCCCTCTTTAAAGACAAACCAAAAGAGTTGCTTGCGAAGTTAATAAGAAAAGTATGCTGACAAGTCATACATAGCATAACTGAACCAAAATTTAGAGATGAGGACTTTCCATGGTAACATTAGTTCCTCCTGAGTAGGATTTTTCAGGACCGTAGAATTTCCTCCATGTAGCTACTCTTCGTCCAAAGAGTGGTTTATGTACATCTGGAATTATATGTGCCCCATCAGGTTACTACCTCTTCATAGCCTGAGTTTCAGGATGTGCTATAAATAGACTAAGCGTAATACTTCATTATAGTATTTGTCATTTCAGCTCTGAGTTTGGACTTCTTGGTATTTCAGGGACAGTGTTTATAATGATTGAGGTCTTTTTGGGGGGAAGAGGAAGCCCAGGTTTAGGATTTGTAATTGTGAAACAAGGTGACATGGATTTTATAGGGGGGAAATGACTATAAACTGGTACTTGCACAGCTTTCTGCCCATTCCAGTTTTGGGAGAGCTCTTAGAGGTAAAAAATTAGTCACAAAAGCTCCTTGTGAATGCTCAGATTTCTAATCTTGAATATCCTGAACAAAAGAGCAATGGAACTAGAAGGGACCTAAGGTAGTCAAATAGTTACCTGGTAGAGGGATCCTAAGCTGGCTAACCTAGATGCATATTTTAAAGCCTCTGTTAGTAGTAAGTAGCCCAAGGAACCTAATGACCCTCATTGTCATAAAAGCTCTCACTGTAATTTAAATCCATTTCTTCCTTTTCTATGAAACTGAAATCCTAAAGTTCTCATAACAGAGTTCTATAGAAGAGGCATCTTATATCCTTTGACTAAAGAAGTACCCATATACCTTTCCTTTATTTGACTGTTAGTTTGGAAGACTGAAAACTTTTGTATGCTAGGACTAGGTATATTGCAGTAGTGACTAGAGATTTAAAAGCTTAGAAAGAAGTGGAGGAGGCATGGGGATGGGGTCATCAGATTTTTTTTCCCCAAGAAATTTTTCTTTCTGAAAACGCTGATTTTGGGATTGTGAGACTTTGGTGCATGATGAATAAAATGTTCAGAGTATCTAAAGTAGCCGTTACTCTGCTAAAGTGATTTCTAAAAATCCAGGAAGACAAAGAGTTTTCTTTAAAACCACCTTTTGCCTCAGATTGGTAACTTTTCCTGAGAATACAGCAAAATCCTCAAGGGTTTTTCCCCTCAAGATTGAAATGTTGACCCTTAGCCTTTTCCCTTTTTTGCTTTCATTTTATTTTTTATGGTGAATGTTTAACACACAAGCCATTACTGGTTAGACTGCAGATTGCCTGAATGTAATATAATAACAAGATTTAAGATGTAGATCCAGAAAGCAGTTTAAAAGATCTTCCAGTCTAACCCCTTTATTTTATATACAAGGCATCTGAGGTCTAGACAGGCTAAGGGATTTTCCTAAGACCACACCAGTAGCAGAGCTAGGTTCTAACATTATTCCTCTGACTCCCAAATCCAGCATTCTTCCTGACTGAGATGAGAATAGTAATAGCACCTTTCAATACAAACAACAAAAAGACTTTGGTAGTTTGATATACTATTTCTAGTATTGTTTCTATACCTAGTTCACACCACAGTCCTCGTATCCTGTGAATTCTGAGGAAGAGTGGTTATTTGTCTGTATTTATTAGGTTTTGCTCCTGAGTTTAGGGGTATTGTACCTGGGGAATCTTTCTGATACCCCTAGTGGAGATAAAGATATTTAAGTAAGAAAGAACCATTGGTCAGAGATACAAGAAAACATAAATCTACTGATACAAAATACAAAAACCTTTGGTTGTTTATTTCAATTAGCAATGAGAAGAAATTGGGGCTATTAGAATAGAGTAAGATAAGAACGTGACATGATGAAAAAAGTGCTTTAGAGTTTGTGAATTCTGGTGGTTGGTCTGTCTGTGTTACATTGCTACCAAGAGGCTGCATTGCATGATTTAATGGAAAGAACACTGGACTCAAAGTTAGGAGATCTGTATTCATATCCCACCTCTTCCATTAACTCATTGTGTGATCTGGGCAAGGCACTTTTTGGACTTCATTTTCGTTATCTATAACATGAAGGCATTAAACTAGATGTTCATTGTAATTTTTAAAAATCCTGAATAATACCATCAAAGGTATTTAGTGGGCATGGGGGCTTTTGCTGACCACCAGCATTCTTTTCCTAGTGTATTCAATTTTTTTAGGTCCAGCAAACACTGATTGAGCACGTGTTATGTGCAGGGCACAATGCAGGCTTTGGAAATATAAAGATGAAAACAGTCCCTGTTCTCAAGTTTTTATTTAAATATTAGGGGGTGAAAAGAAGAGGTTTAGGAAAACTTAAGGCAGATGGGAGAGATGGAGGTTTAGGAGCTTGTGATCTGTGGAAGGAATTTCACAGTTCTGGTTCATAGAGTGAGATCATAGGGTTTGACCATACCTCCTTGTATGTGACTGAGGTAGAATGAAGGTGCAAGTCATAGGAATTGAGAGTGCTAGTGTGTTTGAGGGGACATTAATGTAAATATTGGAGTTTCTTAAGTATCAAGACAAGGCTTATAGTGGAGAAATAGATGTGAGCCAGATGCTGAACTGTTTGAGAAAAGAGAGGAAGGGGCCTGGAGCCTTCTGGATAACTGCAGCCAGGATCTGGATCAAATGATATCAACACTGGGGGGAACCTCAGGTGATTCTGGTGGAGGGAGAGTCTGAATGTGACAGTAATGAGCAAAGAATATGTCTACTCCTTATGGTTCTGTTTGTTGTGGGAGGGACTCAGAGTATCATCAGTGGAGTAGCCAGTATTGAAGAAGGTGTTCATGGACGCGGTGTCTTCCAGGATATCACGTTTCTGTGAGTATCAGATGGAAGGGACACCAGGTGAAAAGATCCCAAAATAGTCAGTTTATTTAATAAATAAATATTTATTAAATACCGACTATGTGCCATGTACTGTGCTAAGCACTGGAGATACAAAGAAAGTCAAAGGGTAGTCCCTGCTCACAATGACTTACAGTCTAATGGGGAGACAACCTGCAGACAACTATGTTAAAACAAACTATATATGCCGGATAAATTGTAGTCGACAGAAGGAAAGGTTTAAGAGGGATTAGTAAGATCTTCCTATAGAAGGTGGGATTTTAACTAGGATTTGAAGGAAGCCAGAAGGTGGAGGTATAAAAGAGAGCATTCCATGAATGGGTGACAGCTGGTGAAAAGGCCTCAAGTCTGGAGATGAAGTATCTTGTGTGACAGATGGCAAGGAGGTCAGTGTCACATACCTGGGTGGTAGTGGTGGTGGTGTAGTAAGGTATAAAAAGATTAGAAAGTTGGGGAGCCCCTATGAATGTCTTTGGATGCTAGATGATTTTATATTTGATCCTGGAGGTGATAGGGAGCCACTGGAGTTTATTTAACAGAAGGGTGACATGATCATACCTGTGTTTCAGGAAGATCATTTTTGCATCTGAGTGGAGGATGGACTAGAGTGGGGAGAGAAATGAGGCAGGGAGATTAATCAGAAAACTATTGTGAAGGTCAAGACATGAGGTGATGAAGGCCAGCACCAAGGTGGTGACAGTGTCAGAGAAGAGAAGGGGGTGCATATTAG